CTTTATTCCAACATGAAGTTAGATTCTTGTTGCTTAGCCTATTCTTTTACTGTTAGGTGCTGTTTTTCTTCATTTTTAATAATTATATATCCTCCTCTAAATTCCCAGAGGCTGTGAACTTAATAGAGCAACTATAAAATTATGAATTTGCTCATTTCAAACTTTATTAGACTTTTTCTTTAAGATTTATAAGACCCAAGATTTTTATGGTTTGGAATGGGTGATGCTAAACTATCTTTTAATCTAACTAATCAAAGACATATTCAGTCTTCAAACTGGTAGCATGCATCCCACGGGAGAGGAATCCATGCCCCTTCAGGAATGACTCAATGCATCACTATTCTCCACTGTACCTTAAACAAATTGTTTGAAATACTACATGGGAGAATGGTGAGAAAGTGACAGTAAGGTGTTTATAATACTGCAGTTTTAAGGAGTGAGACCTGCTTCATGGGAATCTATAAGATCATACATTGTTATATTATTTCAGGATAACTTTAGCCATTGAATTCACCCTATCTAATTTACTGAATCACTTGCATTATGACATATATAAAAGTATACTGCACCTCAGGCATTCTTTAAGGCATTCTTCTTTACCAGGGGTCCCGCAGATATTATAGCACCTCAAATTTCAAAATTTCTAGACTTTGTGACTAATTTTAAAATGTATGGAATATTATACATTCTCCAGATTGGAGAAAGTAATTAGATTGAGGGGGTGGGTTTTTTTTCCCTTTCTTTTTATCATAGCAGTTTGACATTTTCTCTGTATTACAGTATATGCATACTTACTTAGAAGAATATCTCCCAAGTTTGCTGTAATTATTTTCTCAAAGTCCATAATATTTTTTAACTTACTTCCTGGAAAACATTAAGATTGTACATCCAGCTTTGCACAAATGGATTTCATCTCTTGAAACAAATTTATCCTTCATAGGGACTGGTTTAGATCTCAGCTGCAAGAAGTTAGATGATTAAGTGACAGTATAAGAACCAGTTTAACATAATACTTAAGGCACCAGGCTACAGGGAAAGCCATACATTCTAGCCCTGGGTGACTTTGGGCTAGTGATGCTCTCCCAGTCCTAGAAAGAAGGCAATGGCAGACTATTTCTGAAAATCTTCCCAAGGAAACTGCTGGGAGTTGTCCAAAGAGTTGCCAGGAGTCAACACTGGCTTGAAGCCTCCAACTGCCAAAATATGACAGCAACATGTTGGAGATTTCTGAATCTCTTTGCTGTTATACAGCGGTCATGTGGATTCCTGAGTTCTGCATCTTAGTTTTCTCTTTGATGCATCCCTAAAATCTGTTTTGGAAGATAGAATGCATTTCTAGAATAGATTGAAGGGCCACCGCTGGATGGACAACCCTGAGGGATTTCGTTAAACTCTGCGACACAATGCATTGAAATATAGGCATTTGATTATCAGTGACAATGCAGACACATAGTTGGCATTAGTTCCCCTGGTTCCATTCTCCTATACAGAAATCCACTTGAAGTTTGTGGCATAACACTGCATAGATCTAAGGAACTATTATAAAATGTTTCCTCTGCGAAATCCTCTGCAGTAGGATTCAATAGCAAGAAGTATATTCAAAGCTCTGCCTAAAGCAAACTCTTCATGTTGTGCTTTCAGCTAATCACTTTCATCACAGTCATTTTTCCAATTAGCACAGAAAAGCAGATATTGGATGGTGCCTAAATATATCCAGAATGATTCACTCTATGAGGAAATCAACAAGAATATTTTCCTTCTCCAAAGTATTTGCATAGCAGCATAAGAAAGTTATGGTAACCTGTTTAAGTGCATGGTCTCATATTGTTTCCATACATCCTCCAGACATTAAACTTCTGGACATACTATCCAGTTAAAAGTTTACTAGAGTCTTTGTATAAATGGACAGGATTTCAAGAATTAGCACCATTCCTTGCATAGAGTCCCCATGCATATGAATACTACAATTAATCTTCCAACTGACTAGTATTATTAAATATATCAGGGAAGTGGATAGTTAAAATTAAAACCTCAAATTCAGCCTCTGGAGGGGCAGATAAAGGAGCAAGGAAGAGCAATGTACCAGGGTAGGAACTGATAAAAGATCCTATTTCAAACTGAGTTACATAGTTTCTTCGTTAAAATTTTCCTCCTTTCCTCATTCAGGGCTCTGAGCTAGTTCCAATGTTGGTGGTCAGGAATGTCAGGATTATGCTAGATGATATGCTTTCTCTTCTGCCATTTATAGCAGCAACTGCAACAGCACATCTACCTTCACTTACTGAACTTTTAGCAGTTCCTGTCCCTGGATATTGCATATTCCTGGTGTTCTCTCCCAACTGCAACAGTCTATGTCTTCATTCCCTCCTGCCCCTAACCTTGATCTAGAAATTTGCAGTACTCGTTCTGGATTTCCTTCATTTTCACCGTATTTCTTCTCATCACAGGCCTTTACAGGTCCTACTAGCACCAGAGCCCAATCTGAGTTTATGGTACTAGTGCAGGGGTGTCAAACTCAAGGCCCATGGGCTGGATCTGGCCTCTGGGGTGCTTAGATCTGGCCCACAGGGCTGCCCTGGAAACAGCAAAGGACCAGCCCGCAGTGCCTTGCTAGTGAAAATGGAGCTCGTGTGTGGCCCACAATAGCTCCATTTTCATTGGCAAGGGTTGCAAGAGGCCGATGCAGCCGAGAACGGAGCTCAGGAGCCCATTTTTGTCCATTCTCTGGCAGAGCACTTGGGTCACCACAGGCATCCCTGACATGAGTGACAATGAGCTGGCCACACCCACCCTGGCCACACCCACCCCAGCCCCCCAAGGTCAAACCCTGATGTAGCCCTCAATGAAATCAAGTTTGACACCCCTGTACTAGTGTAAGATTAGTCATTTCCCACTACCCATCCTAGAAGCTCTTGTCTTGGCATAATCCTATTATGTAACACAATCAATAGGATAACCATTTCAAACCATTCCTTTCTTGTATGTACATAGCACTTTTTGGGCTAAAGCATGACTTCTGATAGACATTGTATCATAAAAATTTCTAGGATTGTCTGCATACAGCCAAATTATTCAGACCTTTCTGAAAATCTATCAAATGGCACTGCTGGACTGCTCATTCCAGAAAGTTCTGTGCAGATGAGCTCCAACATCCATTACTTTTAAAGACATCCACTTTCAAATCACTTTCTTTACAGAGTTTGCTAAATTAAGATTGTTTGAGTTTGCCAAGTTTGGTGTGTGTTTTTGTATGTGAAAGAATATATATCAGATTATAAAGGTCACAATTTTCTTCTAATGGCAAAAACATCGTTTTTCCTCTCATATATATGGCATGCAGTCTTCTATCAGGTTTCCAAACAAACCTTATAGTTTCCTAATACAAGGATAACAGGTGAAAAACAAATGCAAATATCACATTCAGAAATATTGCAACAAGGCCATAAAGAGATGGGAGAGGGTACAGTTATTTTTGCTTAAAAGTACACACATGGAATCATTTATTCTTGCTGTTTAATATTTAAATGTGCAAAGAATGAGTGGTGGTACATTAGACTCATTTTTCTCTTATAGCGATATTAGTGTTTTTGCGGAACATGATAGTTGTGAACAGAAAGTAGATTGAGATATACTGGTAGATCTTTGGTAAAACTGCCATTGATTGGCAAAGGTTTCTGGTTTCCAATTGCTTAATAACTTCCTCTGCCTTCTACCAAAATAGGTTCCTGAGAACAAATACTTAGAGAGGAAAAAAAGGTGGACTAAACAAGTGCTCAGAAGCACAATATTACAATATATTTAGTGTAAGTCCTCTAGCAACACTCATTTCTCTAAAATAAATCCCAAAAGCTCAATGTTTGTTCATTTTAAAGTCTGTTACAGTCAAAACAGACTAAGGGGTAAATGGATTAACCCCCACTGCCATTTAAACAAATGCATGTCAGATATACAAGATATTTATAATATATATACATCATTTAATAAAATACTTATTATTCCCTTAAGCAAAAAAATGCTTTAAGAAAATTATTCCATTTCATTTTGATTAGACAGGTTTAGTTTTTGGAATGTGGATTCTTTTAATTTAGATTAATAAGACAGCTTTTTTTCTTCCTTAACTGTATGCATTTTTAAGAATATTAAGGAAAAAAGAAGAATGGAAGAAATCATTGAATCACTCTACCAGTTTCTTACTTCTTTAACTGAAGTTACAATTGAATTCTAAATCCACTCTAATTTTAAATGTACTTTATACATAAACAATGGAAATAATGATCTTTATCAATTATTCCAAATTAAACTAGGGCATCAATATTTGCTCAGAATACATGTAAACATTTCAATAGTTTGCAAAATGGTTGAATTTTTTTTAATGCAATTATTTGCTGCTGTTGGTTGACATTGAGTTATTACTTTTCAAATTATTAAAATAGTATATTTTAAATCTCATGCCCCTACTAGACATCAAAAACCTTTACCTCTTTCTTTCTTTTTATTAATAGTATGCTATGTAAAAAAAAAAACTGCTGGGTGCAAGAATCTATCTGCCCAGACTGTGGTGGATATTTTTTTTTTTGCATTGAAATATGGATCCATTATTTATTACTACCTGGGAATTTTATAAAAATGAACCTACAGCAAGAACAAGGTGCAAAGGTGGAATATTTGACACTTTCTGTTAAACAAATAGAAACAGAAGACAATGACTATTGTTATTAGAATAAAAATAAGAACTCAAAAAAAAAGATTACAGGGAAATGCAATAATAATAATAAACTGATTTGTGCACCAGTTTTGCTAATCCATAGTAATAAATATGTCTCACTAGACTACATGAGAACAAATTAATTCCCTTTAATGTCCACTATTTAGCAGCTATTGAATGTTCAGGGATGCAAAAGGCACACCTTTATCCTTCTATTATGTACAAAAGTGTTTGCTTAACGCCCAAAATAATCTGCATAGTAATAACTGTTTTTCTCCTACTATTTACAGAAGGAAGGAAGGACTTAGTGCAATAAAAAATTAAAAATGGTAGATTGTGAGTTAGTTTCAGGGTTTGTAGCATACTCTACATTTTATTGAACTGGTCAGCACTACATTTTAGGTCTCCAGCCATTAATAAATTGCAATATTTTTTTAACTTGTAGTTTGCTCAGTTTAAAATCCTCAGAAAGGATCTCTTCATTGAGCTGGACAAGCAAGTTGCCATCAATTTTTTCAGTTACAAAAAGTGTTATGACATCCTCTGACAAGCCTATAAATCGTAGAGACTTAGATACTTCCTCAATGGAAAGTCCAGACAGATCTACAGGTGGCTGCCATGGTGAACCGTCACCACAAGATCTTGGTGCTAGCTGAAGATGAAGAGGTGATGAGAAAGAATAAGAAACCGAGAAGAGGTCTTGCGTGCTTTTTTTACCCAGACATTGGTCTTCAGAAAGGTCTGGAGAGCTCCTGTGAGGATCTTCCTCAGCACCATCTATTCTGAGAGACCCAAGACACAAGTCAAGCCCTGGCTTCTCCTCCACCATCTTTGGTGCACGAGGGGGTAAGGCAGGGCAAGAAATTGACTGCAACGTGTCACTTACTGCCAAACTTTTCTCATCAATATATTCAAGTGAGTAACTTGCTGACTTTGGGCAACCGGGCATGGTGCATTCTACCTCAGTTGTAGCTGGTGGTTCATCTCCTGCAGAGACTTCATTTCTGTCAAAATCGAATGTAAAAGGTGCTGGACAGCTTCTCTTTGGTGTGTTGGGAGTCTTCTGCCTTGGATAGCTATAACTTCTGCTCGGATCCAACAGAAACTCATTCCTAGAAAGGCCTTCAGCAGCTCCAGAAAAATGATTTGGCCATGAGAGTCTAGAGAACAAAGCATCAGCAGAAGGGCTTCCCAAAGGCAATTTGTTGTCAAGCTCTTGCAGGTCACTTTTTACCATACCACATGGATAACAAGTAACGGGAATAATCTCGGAAGAGTTTTCAGCAACTTCTTCTGTGGCACTGCTTTGAGATAATTAAAAAAAGAGAGACAGAATTAGTATATAGTTTTTATAATTAGTAGTAGTCACTTTAGAATTCAGTAATTTTATATATAAAAGAGCACCGGACTAATGGAAAATAGTATCTATTGCTTCCATTATATAGACATTTTTTTCAGACAGGAGAAATTTAACAACTTTTCCCAGCAAAGTTGGCAACTTTCCTGGCAAATATTTTCCTTTTATTATATTAAGTTGCATATAATGGGCAAATATTTATGTCAAATATGCAATCCATTTTACAGAAAGAAGGTGTAATCACCATCCATACTCAAGTCCACTAGATTGCATAGGTTTTTTTTTTGCAATCTAGTAACTATACTATCTGTGGTTATAATGACATGTATTTCTGTGTAAGTGAAAGTCAATACTTGAATAGATAGCGTTCATTACAGTTCCACATGCCAATAAAGCTGTTAAGGTCCATGGCACTATGTATTATTATTATGGCTCTTTGCACAATCAGCAGCTGTTCAGACTAGATTTGGCATTTATGTCTGCTTATCAAGTCCTTCCCAAGGCATTATTATTACTATTACTATTACTATTACTACTACCACTACTATTATCATTATTAATCATTGCAGAGACAGCCAGATGTTCAGACTGGGTTTGGCATTTTTGTGAACCTATCAAGTCCTTACCAAGGACCAGGGACAGGCAGATTTGGATATTTGATGGTCTTACAGATATCATCGCAGAATAGAAGCTGTTCCAAGTAAAGCTGCCTTCTGCAATGGATGTTGTTCCAAGTAGCGCAGTCATTTGCAGTTCCGCTAGTGTTATAGCAGGAAGCTGCAATTTCTTGATGCATTTTGTAAAATTCTTGGACATGGTACCAAAAGCCCCAATTACAGTGGGTATCACTGTTACATGTTTCATCCTTAATCGGTAGTTTCAATGGCTAGGTCGTGATATTTTGTGCAAATAATAATAATAATAATAATAACAACAACAACAACCGTTTGCCATGGGGCTACTTTAGGTGGCTTACAACAATTAAAAAATAAAGAAATAAGAAGTAAATTTAAACAAAGCAAAAGCAAAATAATAGAACAATAAAATAAATAAGAAAAAAGATTTGATATTATCATCTCTTTACAGGGGAAAATAGGGCAATCAGCTACATTTTTTGAACTTCAGTAATGAAAACCAGAATCTAATTATTTTATAAGGGGTATTTTTCAAAATCTCCAACCTTTAACATAATAGATAAAAGGATCTAAAGTAGCCTTTCCCATCACAAAAGTGCTGCCCTACAATCTCCTTAATTCCCATTCAGCGTTTAGAAAGACAGTCTGAACAATATAGGTAGTCCATGGTTAGAAATAGTTTGTTCAACAACTGTTCAAAGTTACAATGATGAGACTTACAATCAATCCTCGACGTTGCAGCCAATTGCAACATTTCTGTAGCCACATGATCACCATTTGGGCACTTGGCAACCAACTTGTAATTATGAGAGTTAGAGCATCCTGTCATGATCACCATTTGCAACTGTCACTACTGGTTTCTGATAAGCAAAGTCAATGTGGAAGGTAGCTGGAGGTCATAAATGGCAATCACAATATCACACTTAACAATCACTTGGGGCTCACTTAACAGATACAACTGCAACTGTTGAAACTGCCATAAGTCAGCATAGTCACGTCATGCTTTACAATCGTATTGCTCACAGTGTTCTGAAACTAGCTACCATCATTACCCAAGGACTACCAGTATGTGGCTTGTAGTCCAAAACATTTGGGAGATTTTAGTTTGGGGATGACTGATAAGGGTAGACTATAGCAAAAAAAAGTTCATAAAAATCAGGTTGATCATGTGTCTGATCCATTTTAGGGTTTGTTATGACATATGACGATAATGATGAATCTATTACAGTTCTATGTCAAAGATTATTACATAGCTCTAGTGGAAAAAGGATTTTAACTTGCACAATGCAACTCAATCTTGCTTGTTCTGAGTAGAGGTAGCTCTCCAAGACCTTAATCAGAAGTCTTTTCTCAATGCTGCTGGCTGTGATTCTTATCAGTGTCAATACCAAGAATGGTATTTACAAAATATAAGGTTACCACATCACTATGCTCTTGCATTTTTTCTTGAGATTTACAACCATGAGATACCCACTAATATGTGAACTAATCAGTTCAAATCTCAAATTTGTCCTTTATTTAATAAGGTCTTTTTTTAATGAATCAAAACAAGTTGAACAGGTTTCACCCTGCGAAACTTGTTCGTCTGTTACACAAGCACCGATGTCTGGCACCTCATTGCTTAGGTGTCATCGTCACAAAAAAATCATCTTTGGTGTTTTGATTGTTGATCTTGCTGCCTTATTACAAACCATCCAGAGATCTAGAAATAGATTCCCATCTTCTGGCTGCTACTAGTAAAAATTGGCAATAGTACTCCATTATTTTTATCTTTAGGATAAAATATGAAATATAATCTATTGATAATATAAGGTGCCAGAATATATAATTGCAACAATTGTTTTTATCTATTTATATTTAGCCTATACATTTTGCATGACTCTGTTAACAAATAGTTTTGGGAGGATATGAACAAAAAAACTGGATTCAGTGGTCTAATGGTCCTGTCCAACTCTCTGATTATTTATTCTTCAGTTATTGCAACCATCCATTTTCTATTAATTATTCATTACCCCAATTTTCTTCTACTTCTGAATGTGCAGGGGGAGAACTCTGTTTACTTCTCTTCACAGCAACACTCCTATGAACTACAGTAGCTTAGGCTGAGAGATAATGAGCTCCAACATCAAGTGGGATTTACACCTGTGCTTTCTCAGCCCAGCACTTGAACCGTACACCGTTAGTATAAAAATAAGACTGACTTTGAAAAGAAAACACTCAGTACTTACATATTGTGCAGTCCTGATGAATAATATGAAAGTGTTGGACTAGGAGAACGAGTTTGCTGCCGCACAGGTTTGCTCGTCCGTGGAGGAATAGAAGGGCTAGTAGATGTTGGCTTTGAGTTGCGTGGCGGGACAGGAGGAGCATTCAGGAGTCTACATTCCTCTCTGACCTGAAATCATGCACAATTGTAATGTAGCACATCATGCAGGTAATTAAGTATCCTGAAAACTAATAATATTAATAGGAATGAAACAAGGATAAAGAAATAATTATTCATCTAAGAAGCCTTGGAGTGTCTAAAGCAAAAATGGAATAGAAGAACTTGCACCTTAGACACCACATTTATTTATTTATAAAATTTATTGGCAGCTCATCTCATATCCAACGACTCTGGGCGGTTTACAATATACAAACATCAAAAAACATGAAAATCATCCATTGTAAAAAACACAGATTAAAAACATCAACAGATAAAATCATGGACATGTGGTGATGGGGGGAGGTCAACTGCCTCCACTATGTAACTCCCAAATTGGGGAAGCTAATCTGAATATCAGGTTAAGGAACAAAGAAGAAAAAAATCCTTCAAGGCCAACCCTTCCACCAGGCGGATAGGAAATGGCAGTATCAGCAGCAGCCCTCAGCTGTTGATTCTGATATTCAAGAACCAGTTCTTCTTTTGCAAGTCACAATTGAATGTATGCACTTCTTTAATTAGCATGTTTTTGAATCTATGATGCCAGATGTTAATAAATTGCCCATCCAGATTTTGATGGACTGTAATTTGCATCCTCAATAAATCCAAATTACCCAAATGCTGACGTTTGTATTGAAAATGTAAAAGGTTTTGTCTTTCTTTTCTTTTTTTAAGCAGATCCAGAATTGCCTTTAAATGATGACTTTAAATGTTACTTATGTATTACCAGCAGAGGGCAGATGGTAGCTGCTGAAAGATGACTGGTTAAAAAAGCTGGTACAAATGCAATTATCACTAACATGTTGCTCAAATGAACAAACTATTTACAACTCTTTAGGGAAAGATTTCAACAAAATAGATCCTGCTCTTCCCTCTTTAAAATAAATTGTGATTTTTTTACTTTCAAAGACATTTCAAGGTTTTCTCTCATAAGAAAAGGAAGTAATTCAGAAAGTATTTAAAAGCATACAGTAATTGATTTAGATCCTTCAGCTGGAAAAATGAAATATCTAGATACATTTCAGATGGGTTTCAGGTCTAAATGTAGAATAGAAACTTCCTGGATGATGAAACAGTCTTGCTCAGATGAAATCCAGTTTAGACAACTTCTGTACATAGAGCTATCTTTAAAACAGTTCTAAAGCTGCAATTGACCCACAGAATAATGATTAGATTATTAATTAAAATTGAGCAGTTCGACATATCACACTGAGGTTTTGACACCTGCATTGCCTCCAACCTTGTTTCTAGGAGACAATTTAAAATCCCAGTGTTATTGTTTAAGTCCTAAATATACTAAAACATAGTATTATAAATATGCATTAAGCCCTATGGATCTACCTAAAACTTATATTATTTTTCAGAAATCATATTCTGAGGGCCACCAGACAATTATATGCAGATGCAATTTGTGCTGAGAAGTATTTCCACTTCACTGCACAAATCACCACAAAGTAGGCTCGAATAGCAACTCTTACCCATGTTTGGTTGAGTTCATTTGTCTTCCGCCAGCTTCTCTTGATCCGCTTCATCTCTCTCAGTTCCTCCATAAACCATGGGGAATGACAAGATTGACGGGTTAAGAGAGGCCAACTGGGCCCAATCCTATCCAGATTACTTCACCCCCTTATGAAAAATGTGTGTTCCATATGTATGATAGGAATTTCACCCATCTTGGGAATTAAGCAGAACACTAGGAACTTACCGCTTCTGATTTAGGAGGCACAGGTGGTGGAGGTAGGGAAACTTCTGAGGATTTTGCTGTTGCTACTGAAGAGCCAGGTGCTGGCAGCGAAGCTGTACCACCCGTGGACCGGAAAGAACTCCTGTAGTTGTTCTTTTCGCTCTGTGAGCGAGTAAGAGGCTGATCATTCACTTTCCCACCCTCTTTGTCCAACCATAATTCTTCATATGGAAGTTCCAGTTTAGGAGGTAAACAGACTGTTTCTTCACTAATTTCAGGAAAAAGGTAGTTACAGCTCCCATCCCTAGAATCTTGCAAAGCATCATGAGAAGATAAAGCCCACTCATTACACAAGTCTCTGCAATCATGAAGATTCACCTCACTATTTCCATGGAGGTTGTTTCCATAGACACACACAGAGAGACGGTGGAAAGACTGGGTCAACTCATCCCGAGCATAACTGAGAGAGTTTGGCACATGGTTGTGGCTGGTGGGTCGACTTTTTTGTGGGCTTTTGCAGTCTTCATTCCAGTCAGCTTTTACATCTCTCACGGCACGAGAATATTCATCAATATCGAACTGCTCTTGGCAGAGGCTGAACCAGTGCTTCACAAAAGCTTCATGCCACGCTTCTCCTTTCACAAGATTTTCTGGAAGGGTAAACTTTGGAAGAGCTAAATGCAAAGGAAAGTGCATTGGAACAATTTTATTATTATATAGTGCGCAGCAAACCACAACAGTCTTGGTTTGAATATTAACAAACTTGTAACGGTGTCCCTCACGGACAAAATGCAAGTCATAAGGATTCCGTGGGGGAGGGCTTGGCACATTCACATTCACTGGGAGCCGTGTCTTTTCCACAATGTTTCGAATGGTATGCTCGCCTTCTTGCATTTGCAGCTCTAAGGGACTACGTGTGCTAAATCTCCCTTTACACTGGAAAGGCAGACTAATACTCTCATTGGTCCGATGGTTCATGCAAATCAAGCAAGGCATTTTGCCTTTGCCCAATTTGCTAATGGAATTGAGTTTTCCAATTTTCTTGAAGATGGTGTTGAGCCGTGACTTTTCCTTTGAAGATTTTGCATATAGGATTTCTGCTTGTCCCATTAATGTGAGCTCATCTCCTGTGCAAAGGGTAATATTATAAACTTCGGTGTCTTCATTGCATTCGCCTGAAGCCACCTAGAAAATACAGCATTCAAAGTTAAAATAGCATATCAAGCTCTAAACTTAGGCGATGAACCCAGTGGTGGATTAAGGCTCACTGGTGCCCTAAGCACTGACAAATCTTGGTGCCCTGCCTCCTTTGTACGTACTGTACAAACGAAGCCATGTTCTCAACTTTGTGATGTCTCCTTTGGACCTGGTGCCCTAAGCACGTGCTTAATCTGCTTAATGGTTAATACACCACTGGATAAATCCAACAAATCTGAATTGTATAACTTCTTCTGCCTGGTATTCTATATGTTAAGACTATAACATCCATACATTCAGTGTGAATGTTACAAAGTGAGAAAGACTGCTCTAAAAAGTCCACGTGACTGATCACCTTACCTTCTTTTGTTAAAGAAATATCAAGAGTAATATAATATTAAGAATTTATCAGACAAAAATAAGTAATCTCTCTATGTCACAAAGCTTAGGAACATCAAAATTTTAAATTAAATTATGTAGAAACCTACAACCTTATACAATTAGGCTTGCTCACAAGCACTGAAGTGTTATTATAGATACTTTGCTATTCTACTCTAGTTTAATGCTATATTTGACTATCTGTAATTTGTGGTGGTATACTTATTCCTTCCCCACTTTCACTCTCTCTTCTGTATTTAAAAATAAAAGAAAGCATGAATGTGGATATCTAGAAATTTGAACTTTCAGTTATCAATACCCCCAGTCAGGCAGGCTAGTGAATTTAGATTGCAGAAATTGTGGACTATAGCATCTGGCAAGCAACATATATCTAAGTCTTGACATAAAGAAATCTCTCTTTCTCGAAATTAAATACTAATATATTCTACAAATCCCATCAATGACTATAGATTTCTATAGAGACTATTTTTGTTTCCCAGTTTAGAAAACAGAGCACACCTAGAGTGATAAAAATGTTGGCCAAACAGTACTGTGTGGCTGATCATCCAGAGATAATTGCTTCTTATTTCATGAAAATAGCCAGCTGGCAAACTCTGTGAAGTATGAATCTTACGTGATCAAAAGTAAATAATGCCTAGTACTCAAATTAGATTGTATAATCTATATCACCACAGTTCATATTTGCAACTAAGAATAAAAGTTAAGATTTTTCTTTCTGACCTGCAGTGTTAATAAAAAAAGTTAGCAAATGCTAAAATTTAATCTGTGAAATAAGGACATGCCATAATTCTGCAGATACATGTACCAGCTTTTAAAAACAGACAGATATTTTACTACATATACATTTCTGTAACTGAGTTATATATAACCTAGGATTCCAATCTAAGTGTCAGCCTGAGAAAGAACAACCTCTTCCAATCACACTGTAAATTGCACAAAGGAAATGCAAAAGTGGAACAAATCTAACAGGCATGCCTGGGCACTTCAATATTTCACATTTACACCATATGTAATGGCAATTCTTTTGACAGAATCTAAGAAAGTCTACAGCCTTTTGATTATGATTTTAGGACACAGAAAGCAGCATTCTATATCCCTTGTCTTTTGAAAAATAATTTCTGGATTTTAACATTCACTGGATCTAAATTTATGTATGTACAGTATGTATGTGTGTGTTTGTGTGTGTATGTATGTAGTATATGGCATGAAAGACATGGATTGCAGCAGTAAAGTTGAACAAAAAGAACACAATAGTGCGATACAAATAAGATGGAGGTGTATGGTCAATTTTGTAAGGTATAAGAAATTCAAGAAGTTATATATTAAATTACAAATTACATTTTAAAATCCATTGGTTCATAAAATTAGTGTCTTATATATGAATGTCTAGGCTATTTTTCTAATTAAGTTTGGTATTTGTTACTTGCAAGAGGTCTACTTGTCCTCCTATATAAGCTCTCAGATGGCAGCTACTCACAATAAAAGATTAGGTGTCTGCTGGGGAGCACCACAGTCACATTCAGGGGAAGTTACTCTGCCCCATTTAAATGGAGAGCCTTGACAGATACCATGTAAGATGCAAACCCTATTCAAAGTTTTCCAGCACTGGAGGGTAGAATTAAAACTGACCTATATAATGACCTATTAGACAAATTATTATTCAGAAGAAAGATCCACTGGGATCTTATGCCAGATAAATGGTTTAACATTGCTACCTTAATTTATTTACTTTTTTTGTATAAAAATATGAAATCACAAAAAATAATCAGTAATATGTTTAGCAAAGGATCCACGGTAATGTGAACATTGGAAAGGAAATAATGTTTCAAACTGAACTCTTTGTTATGTACTGCTTATCAAGCTAATACCACAGTTGCAGAATTTCCTGAGAGGAAGTTATTCCAGTGGTGTGATATCTCAATACAGCTAATTCAGGAAACAATAAAAATCTAATTGAACATGTTTGTTGTTCAAAATTCAGACCCAAAGGCAAAACATTATAATTCATAATGAATATTAACAGCAATCAGATTTTTTATCAATTAAAATTATCTACTTTTAATTTTGATGAAAATAAGTGATCAGAATTTTCCTAAAAAGGAGGCAGATCACAGAATCAAAAGCAAACAGCAATTCTTGCTGTATATGATCCACACAAAACTCTTGCCCCCCAAATAATACTCTTCTTGCCACATTGGACAGCTTCTAAAAATGCTTAGTAAAAGAGTTTAATAATGAACTAAGATTGCGGTCCTTTGCTGTTTTGGAAGTTTATGGCAATAAAATGATGGTTTGGTTAATTGAAGGTATTTGCCTCTAGGGACTTGAAAGTTTAAGTTAACTATTATATGAGCTTGCATTTGCTTTAACTGGAGCAGAAACCTGTTGAAGAATTATCTTCTGAATTAGAATACTGAAGTGATCTTCTTAGGCCCTTTTGGCAGCACTGCCATTGTATAACTTATACTCTCTTCCTTTCAGTAAAAGGAAGCATAATGGATTTTCTCATTAACTCAAACGATGCTGTAATATTATTTAAGTCCATAATTCCTACTGTCTTTTGATTTGGACATTTATAGAAAAGCAAGTATGAAAAGACTGTGACTCTCCAGGAATGTAAAACAATTTGTCTGTGAGTGGATTTGACAGTCAACTCCAAGAAGATCCACGACAAGACAAACATGAATCACAGATTAATCAAGCAAACATTATTTGATTTTTACACTTAAACATAAAGGAGTTTTTTTGTTTCTTTATATAATCATTTTATTTTTTCTTTGAATTCCTATAGACTTAAAATCAATGCATTATTATTTTGCTTTTCTAGAAATATTTTATTATTCTCAGTCATCTGAGTTGAAAAGTAGATATTACTAACCATTACAATATATACTGTCTTTATGTGACCTAAGACATGGTGTAGAGTGAGTGAAACAGCTGCTCCTTTACCAAATAAAATCTAAGGGTTCAGAGGTGAGGGAGAGTGTCTACAACAGAAGAAGCTCTGTCTAAAATTTGGAAGCAATATTCTAGTTGAACACTGAAAAAGAACATTGTTGATTGGAGATAATTCTCTCCTTGAAAAGGTCTTCATATCTTGTAAGATTAAGAACCCTCAAATTCAGATTATGCAAAATGTACCCAAACAGATTAAGAGAAAACAACAATCCCAAATTACTTTTTGCACAATATATTTCTCAATTGCCATGTTTAAAAAAATGGCTTAACCATAAACCATTTAACTTGGGATAAACATTTGTTTAGGGGCTACCTTAACGTTGAATGTTATTTCCTCCATGACGTAAACTCGTTCAGGAAATGCTTTAGCCACCTCCTCCACACTGTTAAAATACTGCACTGGCTCTTTAATATCACGGTCTTGTTCCAGCAACTTAAACTGCCCTGAAAAAGAGTTGATAGATAGACGAGGAGTAAGATATTTATATTGGATTGCAGTTTCTGTGGCAACTGCTAACGCACTCCCTACTCCATTTAAGTTGGTCAGTTTCCTCCAATTATTAATAGTTAAGTAATGGAAGAAAAGATTGCACACATTTTTACAAACCTGAAAAGGAAAGAGCTACCAAGCTTGGCTAAACCGGAATTAGAAGAATGTGGGGGGGCTGATGTGAGATTTAATAGAATTTACAGGCAGGCTTTCTGGAAGTTAACTGAAAGCATTAATACATTCTCAGGATGGAACTTCACACAGGCTTCTGTGTACTTAGAACTTTTTCATGTTATATACTGTAAATTTTAAAACAGGAACTCCTTTTGTACAAAAAGTTTCATTTAAAAAAAGGAGGGTAATTATAGATGTTTTGTAGCTAAACAACATCTGTTAACCAGCTAATAAAGTAAGTTTCCAAGAATCCTTTTATAGACTTACACAAAAGTTCCTATGTTTTTCTCTTTTGGTAGAATTCCTTATGTTGATTCTGGCTTGAACAGAAAAGGAACATTCCAGAAGAAACTGGGATGTTCCACATACAGAACCCCCACACACATGCGTTATAAAAACATTCCAATTTTAATTAGAAGGCTCACAACATAGATTCAGTAGCAAATCTCGGCTACCTTCCTTTGATAATTGATATGGGCCATGTGTCTATGAGACTTGGTAACATGGTTTTTAGGGAAAGTAAGCATTTATTGGATAAGAATAAGTGGTAGACAAGAATTTACTTATTACTTGTATTTATCTCAGTAGAATGCACTGAATTCCATATCTATTAGATATTTAAAGCATATCTCCATGTGCTAATAGTGCACAATTATTTATTTGGACAAAGGTCTCATCATATCAGAAGAATAGCTCAGATGTGCTTATTCAGTTAGCATACAGTACCAGTATTTTGTAAAGGCATCTGGTCTGAAATACATTTGATTTAAAATGTTACATCCATACATATATGTACATCCATACACATATAATATTCCATTTTGGGATAAGCACATTATAAAGGCACAGAAAAAAAGTATGCAATAGTAAGTGAAAATAATGAATGTGATAAGAAACATACCTAAAAGTAACCTTCAGCAAGACATTCATTATCTCTTTCCAAATCTTTCTGTCATTGCAACTATACTTGCTTCCACCATACATGGCCTTTAGTTCTTTAAAGTTCTCACCTCTCACTCTCTTTTCCAGGATCAAATCTGTACTTTAAAGTTTTAAAGTCCATAAAACTGTCGACTGTATTAAGCTTAAATTACACATTTAATTTCATCTTTATACAAGTATGTACTGATAGTTTTGCAGCGATAATTCAGTGCTAGAAAAATGAACACAGATAGCTGATGCTTCATTGAACATCTTTATAAACATATGTAGATTTTACAAACCAGTTTTAGATTTCTCCAACATGGAGCAAACTCAAACAGAAACATGTTGCAAGTTCAGAGCAGAGTTCCAGTCTTCAGCAAGCAAGCAAGCTAGTTTCATCTTCAATAGACAGACTCAGAGCTTCAACATAGCTGCAGAGTTGCAGAGTTTAACATTGAACCAGCCTAGGCTACTTTTAGTTTCAGTTTCCAGCCTAGGCTACTTCTAGTTTCAGTTTCCAAACTGTTCTCATTGGCTGATTTAGTTGCTATGCCTATTCATTGGCTGACCTTGTTACCAAGCTCTATTCCAGTTCATGAATATACTGACAGTATGTTTGATGGTACTTTCTGAAGATGGACAGAAGTCAATACGCATTGTGGGAGAACATATACAATTTTAGCCAGAATTATTCCTATTAGGAATAATAAGAGAAGGTTACAGTAAAGGCTCAACATATTTAATACTCCATACAGGGGTGGGATTTTAACAGTTCCGACCGGTTCTATAGAACCGGTTATGATTCTGTGCAGTTTGGAGAACCGGCAAATCGTGTCCCTGGCTGGCCCCGCCCCTCTCTGCCTGCCCCTCCCCACCCAGTCAGTCCTTATCACACATGCACAACATTGCACCCATGCCCGACATCACTATGTTTTTCCTTGCCCAGTCACTTCTTAAGGTATTTCTTTTTCCCCCTCCCGAAAATCAGATGTCCCTATGATCAGCTGTGCAGGGATTTCCCTCGCTTACTTACTGCTTCGCCCAGGAGGCTTCCCTGAGGCCCAGAAGGCCCCAAAATTGAGTGCAGGGGGGTGCTGTGTGCCCCCCCATGCTCCATTTTTTTCTTTCCTGGGCAAGGGGGAAACAAGGGGGAAACAGAATACTATAATACCTGGAACAAGTTATATCAATGGTTGCAAAAGAGAGGGGAGGTCGGAACAAAAATTAATTAGGATGAATAGATCTAGAATATGATATGATAGAGGATTTAATTGAGAAAGATGGGCAAAACAAGTATAACAAAACCAATATTGTATAAATAATATGAATGTTAATTGTTTAGTAATTTTAGTATGTATGGCAGAGTAATGCCAGGACGGTTGTGTGTGTGTGTGTGTGTGTGTGTGTGTGTATGTCAATACACATATTTTCATAGGCTTTCAAATGTACCAAAGATTTTTATTTCCTTCAGTGCTAAGTAGTCTTTCTATCATACCATGCTATTCTTGCTACTTGCCTTATTATAGTTATATAATTAGGAAAATGGAAGAATGAACACCACTCTTTAAATTGCCATCCATATTCAACACTTTCAGTATCTGTAGCTTGTAGATCACAGATAAGCCACCTTTCATATTTTTCCAACTTTATAATCCCTGTTGTTCGGCCATGATAGTTGGATGCACTATAGTTCAAATTTTCTATAGTGAATTAAGGATTTGAAAAACAATGCTATTAATATTTTGGGAAACCTTACTGAAAATTGCAGAATGGATTGACTTATTTAACCTTGGGTTGTAACACAGTATATTTATCATATGCTGCTGCTCTGGTGGTTCTGCATCATTATACTAGCTATACAGAACTTAATATCTCAGTCAATAGCTGCATCCTGCTTTATTGCATTATGGAGGTCTGAAAATCTTTGGCTCGTGGCAGAAATGTAACATCTGGCATTGAAAAACAGATCAAACAAGTTGTGTTCATTCTTTCTTAAGAGAGTAATATTTGGCTTGAAACGGCTACAACTGTTCTGTATACTAATATTAAGCTATAGAAAAACATATAATAGAGGGGAATTGGTAGAACACTCCCACTCTCAGTGTTTCTTATTCTTTGGTTGAAAAGTCTTGCTGAGTGGCTACTCCTACTTCAGGGTCTCCTTCTTTAATTGAATGACTTGTTTCATTCATCATAAAGCTGCTTATTGAGCATTATTCCTTGTCTCTCCAGTCTTGATTCTGGTCCATGTTAAACAGACTGTGGTAGAAGTGTAGGATGGTGCATAGTAAAAAATTCCATCTGACAGGACAATTATGTAAACATTTCTGCTTCTGCTTAGAACTTTGGACAGAGCAAACAAGCCTTGAAAGAAACACTGCTTTCAAAAAGCAATGTTTTTGAACACGTACATAGATCATTTCTATGTAAAAGACTTCTCTTGTTTCATGGGCAGGAAGCCTTTAAGTTTACAGAAATTGAGAAGTTTAAAGCCAAATGAGATTATATAGACTTTGGCAATATAACGTACATTCATCCCACATTATAATGTGGACTAACACTCTACGCAGAATCTAGCATTTCAAAAGTCAGTAGGTGTGACCTGCAAACACTACACTGACATTTGAAGATGAAAAAAACTTTCCTATTATTGAAGACAACTATTTTTCAATCTATGGTTTATATAGCCTGTGGCTTATTGTACAGATCACTTGCATTTGTAAAAATTTCACATTAAAAACAATTTTGACACACCTGCCAATCAGAAGTTTTTTTTAAAAAAAAAATTTATTTATTTTGTATACGTATTTTTTAATTAGTAAAATTTATTTATTACATTTATTTGCCTCCCATCTTGTTTTGAAGCAATTCTGGGAGGCTTACAGTATAAAAACATTAAAATCATCAGAGATAAATATTCCTAACATAATAATATGAAAATAAAATCATAGTTCCAAGATGGGAAAGGATGGGGTCAGAAGAGGGGAGGATTGGCTCTTAATTAGCAACAGCATTTAGACTTATATACCACTTCACAGTGCTTTACAGCCCTTTCTAAAGCAGTTTACAGAGTCAGCATATTACCCACAATAACCTGGGTCCTCATTTTAGTGACCTCAGAAGGATGAACGGCTGAGTCAACCTTGAACTGGTGAGAATTGAACTGCTGAACTGCTGGCAGCCAGCAGTCAGCAGAATTAGCCTGCAATATGGCATTCTGTCTACTGTGTCACTATAGTTCTAATTAATCAATCACCTCCAGTGTGATATTCAGGACCCAAAACAGAGTTACCTGATAGGTCCAGATCTGTCAAGTAATTGGGAAATCAGGAGATTCAGGCAGTTCAAACGAGTTTAACAATTTATTACAATCTTAAGTTCTCTACAAGAGTCTGACCAAGTAACAATCAAGGGAAATGAGTGGGAGAAAGAAGGCATTCAAGGTGGGTTGGACTTAGATCTCTTGCAAGCATGCTCATCATGACTTATGATGTCTTTGACCCTTCCCTTGGGCGTCTACAAGGTCATCCTTTGTGTTTCACAGCAGTATCATCTGGGTATTACCACTTGGTCACAGAATCCTTCAGAGTTTTGAATACTGTAATGAGAATTCTGACATATTGCTGTTTTTCACGTTATCTGAAGAATAATATTATGATTGAAACAATATATGTGAAAGTTGGTTTCATGATCATATGGAATTGCCAACTCCCATTCCTACTAAATGGTATATCCCAGGACATTCATTAACATTCTAGTTACTGAAGGAATAACGACTCAAAAGAAGTCTAACATTGCTGTGGGACAAGAAAATGGTCCATCTGACTATTATAATGAGGGGAAAGCCAAGGCCAGA